CCAAAACCCCAAAACCCCAAAACCCCAAAACCCCAAAACCCCAAATCTTTGAAACTACCTTGAAATTAAGCTAATTTCACTTATAAAGCATTGCTTATGCCCTTATTGCTCATATCTGCCCAGAGGCTGACATAAGCCCAAGGATAGCTTTAGTACAACTTTTCTAGTTTAAAATATCCTATTAACTAAAAACCTGCAAATAAGTTTTGTTCGAGCTCCATAATTTATAAACAACTGGAATGGAAATTTCAAATTATTAAAAATTACCAAATTTAGTTGGAATTATCCGAAATTTTTGATCAGAAAAATTAGAAATTTAGGTTTAAAATTATGCGAAATATTGTATATGAGTATATAATTGGGTATCATAACTCCCTAAGAATGCTTTACAGATATTTTGATTGTAGATTATAAAAGAAAAAGGTTTATTGAGGCTGATTTTTATTCGCAACGTCACATTTTATTATTGCACTTTTGAAATAGTCAATTTGAGAGCAATGTAGGCAAGACCTCTGTATATTATTCCTATCAACAAGATAATCAAAATCGACCACCCGAGCCCAACGTTGTAGTCGTATTTATCGAAGATTTCTTGAGGGTTGGAGTAGTCATCATTATTCTCGAATTCGTTTCTGACTAAGGCTTCTGTGACGAATCTGATGGGTGATGTGTATTGCAACCATGATAACCAAGGATATACATCATTAAGGTTTACCATATATCCTCCAAATACAATGAAGGGGAGCATGATAATCATCGATGCTTGGGTCGCTGTTGATGCATCTGTGAATATACAACCAATGAAAAATCCAATTGAAGTTGCGGCTAACACTGCAAGCATTAGAGTCAGAGTAAAAATTCAGAATTTCCCGAAATCCACTGTCATTCCTCAAGTGAAATAGACGACACATGAAATCAATACAGGAGTGATGAACTGAAACGGAATTTCAAGAACAGATTTTGATGTGTAATAAGACCAGAGGCCATATGATTTGCTCGCATACTCTCTCAAGAAAACTGGTCTTTCCATGATGAAGATCACAATTATTGACTGAAGAGTACTCATGATCATGTTTACACCCAGAAAGAAACAGAAGCCTGTTTTATTCTGGACTTCGTTATTTGAATCACTGAGATCCCAGAACACCAAGGACATCAAGATAGAAGTCACAATGATCATCAATGCTCTCATGGTTGTCGAATTGGGGTTTCTAATCAAGTTCAGCCCTGTTCTTCTTGTCAAAACCATGAACTCGGTGACCATCCCAGCATGCGGATGCGCTTCTTTCAGGTATTGGTCTGTCACTTCAAAGTTTTCGATCGCTTTGTCTTCGCCTAAGATCTTCCCAGCAATGTGACTCTGGTAGCCATCAAGCAGAGTTTCAAGTTTCTGTTCGTCTTTCTTGGTTTTGTTGAATGGAATAAAAAACTCTTTCAAGTAGTAGTCAGCAGGGTTTGCAAACTTCGGAATTTTGAACCCGATCTTGTCGAAGTATTGGCCTGCTTCTTGGGCTTTGCCTTGATATATTGGATAGCCATCCATCAGAAGCAAAAGCCTGTCGAACAACGAGTAAGTGCTTGAGCTTGGTTGATGTATGGTAGCAACAACTGTTTTCCCAGCTTTGGCTTGATCCACAAGCAGTTTTACAATCTTGTTTGCAGTGAAGCTGTCCAAACCAGATGTTGGTTCATCCAAAAATATGATGTCAGGATCAGTGACCAATTCTATGGCAATGGCAGTTCTCTTTCTCTCCCCAGGCCTCAGACCCTTCATGATCTTGTCTCCTATAAGAGTTTTCTTGGAATGGATCAAGTTCAAAGCTTCAATGGTCTCATTGACTTTGAGTTTGAGGTCCTGTCCTTGAAGATTTGTCCGAAGTTGAGCTGAAAACTTGATGGCTTCTTCACAAGTCAGAGTGGGAAACAACACATCGTCTTGCATGACGTATACTCCGTATTTCCCGAAGTCTTTCTGAGAAACTGGATGGCTGTTGTTTAACAGAATGTCTCCTTCGAGTTTGTAGTTTTTGGTCTTTTGTAGTCTATCACACAGAGCATTGAGCAGAGTGGTCTTGCCTGCTCCAGAAGAACCCATGATGAATAGTGCTTCTCCACTATTCACGTATCCATGTTGTTTCTTAAGTAGGACCTTTTCATATGTTTTTTGAGTGGCTCCTTGAGCTTCCATAGCTTTCTTGGAGTACTGAGCCTTAACAGTATAACTGAGGTCAGTCCAAGACAACTTCATGGGATGTTTGATTACATCTTCTTTAATATTTCTTAATTCTCCCGAAATTGGTGCGATCATTTTATATTTGATTATATTCCTCCTTGCACTCTTATAACCTATATATCTCAATGGTTCGTGACAAACCCGGGGTTTTGGGGTTTTGGGGTTTTGGGG